CTTCTCATTCACCAAAGGCATGCAGAAAGAAGTGCAGAAAACAGGAGACTCCAATAGAAAAGCACATTTCCCAAACATGCTCAAGGAAGAGAAATGAATTTGTTTAACGTTCTTCACAAGCAGATTTTGGGGGCAATGAGCAGAGTTTCCACAGGCATCAAAGGCATGAAAACAGCAAGCAAAGCTACAGGAAACATGAAAGTCATGGAAATACACAGAAGCTGAGAGTTAGTGCAGCCAAAGCACAGTACGTGTGTGTGTGTGTATTCACAGACGTGCATACATGTGCACACACACATAGGTCAGAGGGAGGAGTGCTGGTTGCTGACACTGGAAAGGTAGATGGGAGAGCTGATCTCAGGTTTTACGAACAAAGGCACACAGGCAGGGCGTAGGGCTTGGAAGAACAGCTTGCAAAGCATGGCCTGGGAGGAAGCTCTCATACATGAACTGGTCCTGCATTTTCAATAGCCCAGCCCTGGGTGAGAGAATAAGCTTTTTCTGTCTTAACTGCAGTTTCAATAAAATACTTTCAATTAACATTAAAGCCTATTTTTAAAACCATTCTTTCTCCTCTCCTGCTGTGGTCATCACTAATACCCTGGTCTGAACTTAGAGAAGTTTTGCAACTTTCAATACCAAAAATTATTTTTGAATTTTTTAAATTCCTCCAACTAGAGCAATGTAGTCTTATTGAGTTCCATATGGAATAAGATCCCTGAGAATTTTTTATAGAAAAAGAATTTCTCCTTTACATGTCATAGTTATACACTTCACAGAGACCTGACCTGCCAGCCCTAAGATTACCTAAGACTCCAGGTTGGCAATTCTATTGGTATAAAGGGCCCGGTAATAAATATTAGGTTTTGTAGGCCGTACAGCCTCGTGTTGCACCAACTCTCCATTGTAGTGTGAAAGCAGCCACAGATAATATGTAAACAAATGAGCATGGCTATGTTTTAATAAAACTTTATTTATAAACAAGACAGGAACAGATTTGACCCATGAGTCTACTTTGCTGACTCTCCTTTAGTCTAGACCAACATAACTCATCCCTTTGCAATCAGGAATGTTTATCCATTATTTATGTCAATTTTATATTTGTCTTACTGTTCATTTTCTTGTTAAATATAATATTCAGTTAGTCTTTCATATGTATTTGTATATGCCATCAACTGTCTTGCATCCCTGGAGCAGCATTATATTATTAAAGCATTCAAGGAATGGTTTTATCATTTTAATTAATTGTTATTAATAACACTTATGAGTCCCTTTAGTCTATAAAATTCTTTGTAGAAAATGTGGGTACGCATCCAAAATTATCTCCCCAAGCCACCCCAGGGGCACAAGGAAATGAAGACAGAGAAGAGAAAGATAGCAGAGGGTTCCTTCAGCCTTGGCTTGCTTTTGATTATATTAAAAGCATGACTGGGAATGTTCTCTGCACTGTTGAGCTAGAGGGTCACACATCTCATTATTTCATCTATGGTATATTCCTAATCAGATACACAAAGAATTCAGTTACCATGCAGATCTTAGAAGCAGGAGCATTCATAATAGGAATTTCAGAATTAAAAAGCACCTCGGATAGAGTGGAGTCCAATTTATGTGAGTTCCTTTAGTAAAGAAACAGAAGGGCACATTATGAATGCAAAATTAGGTAGAAAAAAAATACATAGTATTTCTAATGTGAAGAGAAATCTCAAAAAATTTTTAAAAGCTGAGAAACAGTACAATCATTTTCTTCAGGTTCCATTTTGGTTTCTACTAATACTTCCTTCTCTGTCACATTATTTTTGGTTGGTTCATAATTATAAAAAAAATAAATTAATCTAAATTAAAGAACACACAAAAGTAATTAGAACAATTTTAATTGCTGGTAATATATTGTATAGTAGCAACATAATTGTTATCAAATTACTCTTGTGGCCGGGCGCAGTGGCTCAGCCTGTAATCCTAGCACTCTGGGAGGCCGAGGTAGGCGGATTGCTCAAGCTCAGGAGTTCGAAACCAGCCTGAGCAAGAGCAGACCCCATCTCTACTATAAATAGAATAAATTATTTGGCCAACTAATATATATAGAAAAAATAGCCAGGCATGGTGGCACATGCTGCAGTCCCAACTACTCTCGAGGCTGAGGCAACAGGATTGCTTGAGCCCAGGAGTTTGGGTTGCTGTGAGGTAGGCTGACGCATGGCACTCACTCTAGCCTGGACAACAAAGCGAGACTCTGTCTCAAAAAAGAAAGCATACTCTTTGTGTATGTTTTGTCACGGAACTTTTTTTTTATATTGTCACTTGTTTTTTCAGGCTATTGTGCTAAGTTGGTGACAATTTACATGCTGTTTATCTGGAACCACTATGCTTTGTCAGGACAAAATGTGTCAGATATGCTAAAATTCAATCTGATATGTCGGATGCATAAAAACATGCAACGTCACAAGAGTGTTTTCATTTCCAGCACTGCTATGCATGTAACTACAAACCCAGAATTCTTCTGAGGTTGTTTCTAACTTAATTAATTAAGTTAGATTTAATTTAGCTTTAATTTCTAGGTTAGGTTTAATTTCTAACAGAATTCTAACTTTGTTTCAAAAGATTCATAGAGTAAAACTAAGTTGAAGTGGAAATAGAAAATGGTCTTAATCGACTGTGGTTCAAAGATCTGCAAATTTTCAGAAATGTTGAACGTGTAAACACATTGCTAGGGACTCAAAGAGGTCCTGTGCAAGAGGAGGACCTGAAAATCCTGGCTTTGTTAGCTTCACAGTAAACTCACCTTTGATCTTAGCAGTCATTTATTAATAGTTTATGCCCATATCAATCACACATTCCTGGTGTTAATCTTCCTCTGTACATCACTCCCATGACACAGTTTATTACCTCCCAAGGCAACTCATTCCATTTGTAGGCATCTAGAGTCATAGAATCTTCCTTATGCTAAACCAAAACCTACCTCCTATTAACTATCATCTGGTGGTCCTAGCCTCCCCTTTGAATGATAAATCTAATCACTCTTTCCACATGACAGTCATCCAAACATTTCAAGACAGTGATCATGTCATCCATTGTCTTGGGTCCCTAGAAAGCAGACTTTGGCTCAAGGATTATTGAGGGTGGCTCTAGGAAACAAAGTAATGGAGTAGGAATTGAGAGACAGAGAAAGCAGCCATAAAGTGTGCCTGGTCAACCAATTACTGCCGTGGACAACCAGAATGCAATTCTACTAGTGGGAAACTCTGAGAAGCTGAAGTAGAACACATGCCTCCGATCGGGGATGTACACACCAACTCTCATCAGTTATTAGTTGAGGGATGCTCTTGAAAAGCATTAATATGCACTAGCAGGTTGGGCTCCAACTCCTAGAGAACGTCCACAAAGAGATACAGAGGCTGACAGCTGGAAGTCAGCCAGCCTGCACTGCAGTCCTAAAGCCCAAAAGGACATGGGCCACACATTCTCCATGTCAAACTGCCCTGGGTCTGCAGGGGTTCTGATGCAGCACGGCCACAGGGCTCCTTCAGCCTCATCCTTCAGATGGCCTTGCCTTTGTCTGGCTTGTTTTGCTAAGTGCTGAACATGACACTCCACATGTGGCCATGCCTTCCCAATCCTCAAATTTCTGGTCCCAGAAAGTACATGAACACAGAATAGGCACCATCAGTGATTGAGGGTAGAGGAAAACATAATCAGGTTCAGCCTTGAAAGCAGCCAAGAGAATTTAAGCAAATGGAGTGAGTGTGGTGTGGTTCTGATGCACTTTTGCCCCTGAATGGCTTTTGCTAGAACCATACCCAGGTAAGCCAATCCAAAAAACAACAAAAAAAAAATCCACTTTCTTTAAAATGCCAGACACATCCACTGTTTTCTAGTCACCTATAGCCTAAAAGGAAGTTCTTTAGTACTCTATGATATAAGCAAAGGGATAGCAGCATAAGGTTAAATTATGGAGAATAAATGAACAATTGTTCACATTAGACAATCAAAAATCGCTAGCCTTTTGCCACAAAGTGATAGAATTGTTCCTGTGATTCATTACCATAGTAGTTTTAAAATATGCCCACAAATTCTTTGCTACTCCTGCCTTTCAAAGGTGGAGCCTGATTCCCCACCCCTTGAGTATGAGTTGGACTTGGACAGAGATGACCCTGTGAGACTCTGAGGTAGGTCATAAAAGCCATGGTGGCTTCCTCTTTGCTCATTCTCTCAAATCACTCTTTCGGGAAACTGGCTGCCAAGTTGTGAGACGCCCCACAAGCCCCATGAAGAAGTCCACATAGCAAGACACAGAGGCCTCCAGCCAAGAGCAATGTGAGCAAGTCATCTTGAAAATAGGTCCGCCCGTCCCAGTCAAGCCTTCGGATGACTACAACCCTGCCTGACATATCTCGATGGCAACCTCCTGAGAGACCTTGAGCCAGAACCACCAGCTAAGTCACATCTGGATTTCTGACCCTCAGAAACTGTGTGAGATAACAGACATTTCGGTTCTAAGCTGCTACATTTTGTGGTAATTCATCTCACAGAGATAGACAACTAATACATTGAGAATGCCTGCATGGCCAATTGGACTGGTGAGATCATTAAAAACTGTCAGCTTTATACCGGAAAGTGGATGACTTCTTTCTCTTGATTCTTTGTCCCCAAACCTCTGTTTTCCTCTTGTTCTTAATGAAATTCTAAATTTTTTATCACTGATATTCCATCACCATTTCTTGAATTACACGTTTTACCTATCTCACCTCACCCCAAATCTCAGCAATGTAAATGCCTCTAAGTCTGCTTATAGCTGCACTACCAGACCCTAAATCCCAACAACGGATGGCTCTGCCACCTTGCCCTAAGAGCTACAGAATAAATCTCTCACTTGGAATGGGAGGTAGAGGCGATGATATCAGGGCAAGGCTTTAATTGGGTGTGTTTTCATTAATTAGCTTTTTGAGTTTTCTTTCCCAGCCCCTTTCCCAAATGATCTTATAATAACAACAAGTGAAACCTACCTGATTTGGCTTAAGTCCATGGAAATGCTTTTATGTCTTTGGTACTTTGTAAGCAAAGCAGTCACGAAGAGCCCCAGCAGACTACATTGACTCTGGCCAATTAGTGTTTCAGCAGAGAAGTATTTCTGACGTGAGACAAGGGTTCTTTGCGCCTTCCAGACTGCTGTGGTAAGTCATAAAACAGCAAATTAGGGCTGGGTGGAGAACTAGCCTTTGCTCCTTGATCCTTCTTTACTGACAACAGCCCATAGGCTTCTGCTTGTGGTGAAATGAACTTGCGTTGTTTTCTTTTATCCCCAAACAATGAAAACAGCTGCCGATGCAAGTTATTGCTTGCCAGAACTTATTTCTCTCCCACCTGGTCAAACATCTACGAGCTGTGAAAAAGCTGATGGAAGGGAAAGGATACTTTGCTATCCTCAAATTGTAGGTGACTAGAGAATTGAATTCATACTGACACCAGGAGAGAATCAAGGATATTTTTTCCTGCAGTTATGTCAGAACTAGAGAGTGAAATAGAATGCTGGTGGTGGGTGTAAATAGATGTGATCCATGTTCTTAAACTTATTTTTTTTCTGCATTATTTGGAACATCCATGTAAATTAGAATGTGAGCCCATCATAGTTATTGCACTGTACTCATCCTTCAAAACAAATTGCATGTTTTACCTGGTAATAAAAATTCTCAGAGTGAGCTAGTAAGTTCCTGAGCATCTCAGCTGGTGGATTTGCACCTTTGATGCTGGCCACTCAGCCACCCAAAAGTTGATAAATCATCTGAAGGCTTCCAAACGTCCAGGTGCCCCCACCCCAGTGCCCAGTTTGACCTTCTTCCATTAGGATGCTAACCTGCGGATCTTTCTTGTCTTCCCAATTCACACTTTTAATTGAGGGCTTTTTATCATAAGCCAGGCAAAATTGACACTTTTCAAGAGTTTATTCCCCATCTCTTCCATTGTTTTGTAAACATGAGTTGGGTCCAAGACAATTCAGAATCTTGTGCCAATCCTGAAGTTATTCCAGATTGCTAATTTGGGGGATGAGTTTTAGAAAGTCTGGCACACAGTAAGCACTCCATAAATGTTTATGAAACCTTGGTACATACACATGATTTTATTTTACTGAGGCAATTTCTGTTTTCAATACGGAGTAGAAGCAAGTCATTCCTGGCATGTGACACACTGACTCAAGATCTCTTTGATAACAGGGACGCTAAACAGAATTGCTAGAAGGGGCAGAGTTCTTCCAGCTTTCTTGTTATCATATTCTCTCCTACTCTTAACTGAGTTCCTCAAATATCCACAGAAATTAGAGTAAACATGCTGCAGCCTTAGAGTTATCTAGTCCATGAGGATATAGAATTTATTAGTCTAGCTAAGATTTGTCACTCCCTGAGCTACAAAGGTCTTTATAATACACCCTCTGACATGGATTTGGTACTAGTACAATAGCTTGGCTCTAGAGGTTTTCTTTTAATAGAATGAAACAAAAAGAGGGAGAAGGGGAAAGAGTCAGAGAGAAGAAGAAAGAGAGAGAGCGTGCACGTGCAAGCTCTTTAGCTCCCAAACTCAACATATTCATATGAGCATGGAAGAACAAAAAGATGCCATGTTCAAACAAAACTTTTAAAAATTCCATTCTGGGAGTGGGCTTTTTCTCATAAAATGGATCTTTCCCATCTCCTTATTCCAGTGAAGAAATGAGAAAGATTGATGAAATCACCTTTCTTTCAAAAGTCCTCCCTTGTCAGTTCAGAGCAAGGAAAATTAAAATAGCAAACAAATTCATCCATCATGATGTGCCTCTTGTCTCCTCATCTTTCTTCTCCTTCCTAGATTACTCATCTCTCAGTCACCTTGTTTCCACTCCCTGTCTGATGGTGAGAATATTTATAATACTTAATACTTGCTATTAAGTACTTAATATTTGCCATATTCATAGGATCTCAAAGAACTTCATAAATATTAATTGTCGCAGGAAATTTCAAAAATAGAATAGGTAAGGAAAGTGAGCTGTGGAAAGTCAAAAGGACAACTGCTAGCTCCTAGGAATAATTTGGGGGTTTCTCTGGACACTGGGGCTCCCTATGACATCTGCCCATTAGCTGCACGAACCCTAGCAGGCGTATCAGTCAGTACAAACTAGGTTATGCTGGGGTAACAACCCCAAACCACAATGGTTTATTTCTGCCTCATGCCACATCACAGGGTGGCCCTGGCTTGGTGCCACAGAAACATCATCCTCACTCTCAGACCCTAGACCCAGGCTAATGGAGAAGTTTTCTTTGTTTTTAAAAGAACCTTATCTTTTAGAGATTCACAGAGAAAAGTTTATGAATTAAATGACATGATGCCTGTGATTCACTTCACAATAATCTGAGGTTGGGGCATGGGATAGAGAAAAAAACATAAGATCAGCTTAAGGTAACAGGTGTTGAAGCAGGGACCCATTGTTTGTACTGTTCTGATTAATTTTGAAATGTTTGAAATTTTTCATAATAAAAAGTAAAAACAAAAGCAGAACCTTCTTTAAAGAACGTGGTACTGGCCCCCATTTTTCAGAAAAGGCAAGTGAACTCAGAATGACTAAATCATTTGCCCAGGTGCTTGTACATGGTGGAGCCAGAGTTCGAATCCAGATATGTCCCAACACCTAAACCCTGTGCCTCGCAAAGTCAATAGAGAGGCTTCCTCTGGAGGCTGTTCCTCTGGGCTCATCCGTGAGAGAGGAAGACGTTCTTCTTGATTCCCAGAGGCACTCACCAGGAGCAGGGAGACCCTAGTACCTGCTGCAATAGCAGCCTCAGCAGCAGAGACATCCCTGACTTTTTTTGGATTCCCCTTAAACACCCAAAGGCACCCTGCAGAAAGTATACCAGGATGTATACACACAAATGAAGCCTGTAACCTTGAGCGTGCTGAGATATTTTCGAAATATTTTCAAGCCTTTTTCTTTTCTGGTAGTTTTACTGAAATATAACCCTTCACGTCCAGTTTATGAGTCAGGGGAAACAATCTCACTGATCCTCCCTGCATCTTGGACTCCAAATGCCATGTCTTGGCTTGGTCCCCCTTCCTTATTCCACAGACTTCCCTCTAAGTTCCTTTTCACTGCTTGCAAAAGCTCAAATCTAATATTAATAGTTGTCAAAAAAAAAAAAAAAAAACAACCACAATGCCATCCACTTATTTAGGGCTAGGAACTGCCTGAAATGCTTTAGAAATATTATCCCCTTTAATCTTCAAAATAACCCTTCAAAGGATGAAGATTTGCCAGCTTTGAGGCTGTTCAAAGAGAGAGCTCTGAGAAAGGGATTAAGGTGGTCCCAAGATTTGAATTAATCTTAGCCCCGACAGGGGATTTAGTAGCCTGGACACTATAAGAGTCTTGGAATGATTTACAAACTGATTCTTTAGATATCACTTTGTCTTGTCATCTGTGACTTTTGAGATCATCCTCAAACAGAAAGACTCTATGAAATATCAGTAATCTGCTCTCTCCAATCTCCTCCCAACAATGATCGAGCAGCAGCCAATAAGTCTTTGCTTTTTCTGAACCCAACATTTTTTGCTGAGGGCTGCGTAGAATGTCTTTTAGCATCTCACAATATGTGAAACTACTTGAGAAAACCAATATATCAGAGCTTGCAAGCCCTTCCTGAATTTGCATGGAACAGAATCATGAGGACCTAAAAATGCAACCCAGAAAAGTTTTTTCTTCCCCTCTCCAAATTCTTCTTGCTGCATTCCGGGCCCTTTGCCCCATGCCAGGCCCACCTCATGCTGTTTGTCACTATTTTTCTTCTCTCGAACATCAAATTTCCACCTGAACACATAGACTGTAAACATCTCAGCAGCCAGAGTGCAGAGTGAGTATTGCTCTCTTCTACAGGAATTTCACAATCTACAGACTAAATTTAGAAAGTTATCAACGTCTTGAAAGGGTTAGGGAGTGCTCAGATTCAATTTCCTTGTTATAGTCTTTAAACTGCTTCCCAGTTCTGGTGCATTAAATTCTGGACCTGGGGGAAAATATTTGCCTCCAATGTGGGTTTCAGAAAGAAATACAGGTTTGGGCTGCAGACTGCTGTTCTGGAGCCCAGGGCTTTTATTCCCCTCCCCCGACCCCTTAGCCAGGAGGACAGAAACTATGATCTTCAATGGTTTTAATCCTTCCAGCTAGGCATTTTTCATTCCTCATTGGACATCAATGATGACAGCACTAGGTGTCACATTCTTAAGACTCTAATCACTTGTCGCTTACATTCCCACTTCAAAATTAAAAGCATGAGCAAATCTTTGCATTATAACATCTTTTTTGTTTATTCAATGTACAAGTACTATTCTAAATAATTCACTTAATATATATTTATTCCTTTAGGAATTTGGTCCCTATTCCATACAGCCTTGTTTCTCTTACCTGTAAATGCCACAATTTCTCCTTTAAAACTCATCTTCTGGCCGGGCACAGTGGCTTACATCTGTAATCCTAGCACTTTGGCAGGCCAAGGCAGGAGGATTGCTTGAGCCCAGTAGTTCAAGGCAAGCCTGGGCAACATATGAGACCCTGTCTCCACAGAAAAAAAAATAGAAAATTAGCCAGGCATGGTGGCACATAACCTGTAGCCACAGCTACTTGGGAGGCTAAGGCAGGAGAATCACTTGAGCCCAGAAATTTGAAGCTGCAGTGAGCTATGATGACACCACTGCACTCCAGCCTGGGCAAGAGAGCAAGACTCTGTCTAACATAAAAAACAAAAAACTGATCTTCTCCATCTTTCCTGATTAACCCACCCTCTCCTGACCCCTTCTTTGGTCTACAGGCCTTAAACACAAAAGTACCATTTTGCCTCAATCACTTAGTATTGAGTTGCTTTTGCATATATTTATTGCTTCTGTTCATAGGTAGTCTTGTTAACTAGATTGGAAATTCTCCCAGGCAGGAGTTGTTTTGCCTATTATTTTATCCTCTCATGTAGGGTTTGGCTTTCAGAAGGCACACAATAAATGCATAGTGACTAGTTAACTCATAGCAATTAATTATTTGGGTGAATGTCAAAAGTATCAAGATGGTGGTTTAATAATGATCACCTGCAGTAATGATAATAGTCATAATAGTATTTCTTTAAGTTCTTTTCTCTCCTGGCTAACTTCCTCTAGACAATACTTATGAATTTTGCATAAGATTGCTGTTGTCTTCACATTACCGTTTCCTGAGATTTATAATCTTGTAAACCATTTGTCACTGAAACAACGTGGAAGATAAAAGTAATTTCAGTAATATGTTGACAACATTATGCTGTTGAAATGTTGGCACAAATATCCTATAAAGTGAGGAGAGACATGTTTCAGAAATATTCTAAGCTGGCAACAAGACTTGATATAGAAAGAAGTACCATCAGGCCTGTACAAGGAAAGCATCTAATTTATAACGAGCTAATTTTCTTGTGCCCCAGTTGAAGGTTAAGTGGGGCACAAAGAGGACAGACCCTCTCCTGGCCTCTGCCTCTTGGATTCTCTGGGGAGACTGGGTTTATGATTAGTTACCAGCAAAGAATACCTCCTGCTCAAGCAGGCCTCGTGCTATGTAATTATCTGTTAGGGCAAGTGAGATGCATTTAATTTCAGGCCTTGGAATTTAGGATGGTGGAGGGGACATGGCACTGCTACCAGTGTCCCACCACAGCAGAAGCATGGTCTATCCATTCATTCATTCATTCATTCATTCAACGCAGGCACATGTCGCGCCCATCAATATCTCACAGTCTAGTGGCAGAGATGGCCATAAACACATCACAGTGTCATGGTACATGCACCAAAATAGAGGGGTTAGAAAAATAATTCTATTGGCAGCAACTCTTGCCTCAGCCTAGGCCATACTCCTTAAATAAAGCTTGGAAACTTCAAAGATGGTCTAGCAAAAAAAAATATGACATTGGAACCCTACCTCACACCATATACAAAAATTAACTCAAAACAGAGCAATAACCTAAATAGAGCTAAAACTATAAAACTCTTAGAAGAAAACATAGGGGTAAATCTTCATGATTTTGAATTTGGTAATGGATTCTTAGATATAACACCAAAAGCACAACAATAATAGAAAAAAATACATTAGACTTCACCAAAATTAAAAACTTTTGTACATCAGAGGATGTTATCAAAAGTGAAAAGACAGTGTACAGAATTGGAGAAAATATTTGTAATCATATATCTTATAAGGGTCTAGTATTCAGAATATATAATGAACTGTTACACTCAAAAACAAAAAGGCAAACAACCAAATTAAAAAATGAGCAAAGGCTTGAAATAGACATTTCTCCAAAGAAGATATACAAGTGACCAAAAAGCACATGAAAAGATGCTCAATATCATTAGTCATTAGAAAAACGCAAATTAAAACCACAATAAGATATGACCTTACACTCACTAGGATAGCTAAATTAAAAAAAACCCACAGAATGCACATTAGACCAAAGGAACTAAAAAAAAAAAAAAAAAAAACCCACAGAAAATAATAATGTTTGCAATGATGTGGAGAAAGTGGAATTCTTGCACATTGCTAGTGAGAATGTAAAATCGTGCAGCCATGTGGAAAAAATTTGGTGACTTCTAACAAAGTTAAATAAAAATTATCATATAACCCAGCAATTGTATTCCTGGTTGATATATGTAAATGAATTGAAAACAGGTACTTAAACAAATACCTGTACATGAACATTCATAGCAGCATTTTTCACAATAGTCAAAAGATGGGAACAAATCAAATGTCCATCCATAGATAATGGATAAACCTAATGTGTGTAACATTCAATGGAATATTATTCAATCATAAAAATGGATGAAGTACTAAAATGCTACAGCGTGGATGAACCTCAAAAACATTATGTTAAATGAAGGAAGCCAGACACAGAAGCTACGTATTTTATGATTCCATTCATAAGAACTATGAAGAAAGAACAGGAAAGTTCATAGAGGCAGAAAAAGAAATGACAGTTGCCCTGGGTTGGGAGTAGGGAGGAACGGAGTGGCTGCTTAATGTGCACAAGGTTTCTTCTGAGCTGGTGAAACCTAACTATTTTGGAAATAGATAGAAGTGGGTGTTGTGTATATACTGTGAATGTACTAAATGCCAGCTGAATTGTATACTTTAAAATGGTTAATCTTATATGAATTTCAATTAAAAAGAGAATTTCATAAAATATATATGTATATGTTTGTACATATGTATGATATATGGAATCATAAACTTTTAACAAGAGTGAGCCTTTTGAAGGACATAAGTTATAATTTTTTAGTTGGACAAATAATTTACATTTTTATAATAAATATAACTTTCTTGACTCATGAACTTTAAAGCGTTCAAATTAATTAGCTTTCCATGAGAAAATAAACCCAAATTTTATATAAACTGGAGTATTATTTTTTGATTGTGATAAAATCAGGAAGACATATAATTACTTTGAATTAAAATTTTCACCTTGAATAAGACTTTATCTTAAACTTGTAAATAGATTATGGTTTATAAACCTCTATTTATAAACCAAGCATTAAAATTCTTTAAATGGAAAAAAAATTCTTTAAATTGTATTTAAAGGGACATTCTAAATGTGTCCCTTTGCATTCCTTTGTTTTTTTATCCTGTCACCTACAACCACGGCCATTAATCTATCTCCAAGGTAAACTCTTTTGTTCCTCTGAGGTATGGAATTTAAAACCA